GCCCGAAGCCGAGGCCTGGGGGAGAGCCCCGCACGATCACTCACCACCCAGCCACTCTGGAGATGGAGTGAACATCATAAGCCAAGTCCTCAGTTGGGCCTGTAAAAACCACTTGGGAGGCTACAAAGCCAACACAATCTGTGAAGGAGTAGCCGGGAAGGCACATGGTGAAGTCAGAATAAGGACCCAGCCAAAGGAGATAAAGCATTTCAAGGGCTATAGCAGGTCGTGAATGACAGCAACAGTCCCACAAAACGGATCACTGTACCTATTTTTGTAACACCTTTCTCCCTGGTGCTTCTGGAAAAATGGAATATTTCTAAATTTCCCTCGCCACATTCTCTGGAGAGAGAGAGAAAGAGAGAGAATATCATGTAACCATGTCCCTAAGACTCAGAATGGGTTAATTTCTTGAAGGTTATTCGGAACCCTGGGGCTTTCTAAGGAAATAGCACCCCTACCCAAACCTCGCCCTCCTGGAATGTGTTAAGGCACAAAACACATACCTGCTCTTAGAAGACTTGAGTAAATCACATGTTTCAGTAAGTTTAAGTGAAATATAATAGATTCTAATATTCAAAGCCCCTTACCTTACAGAAATATGAGCTTAACCCCTAGCTCCAGCCAAGTCATTGGGTCTTTTCCCCCAGAAGACTTCAGGGGAAGATGGTTGTTTGTTTCCAGTCTCCATGTTTGCAGCTTGAATCTTTCCTCTGAAATTCAGACTTGAAGGTCCAGGTGCCTATCTGATAGCTCACTTTGATGTCCTAAAGCCTTACACCTCGGAAGTCTTTACTGTAAAGCTGCCTGCCTTCTCAGGGAGGCCTTCCTTTCTCATAAAATTACAGTAGAGCCCTCCCACCTCCAGTGATCCCGATCGATCCTCTCTGCTTCATTTACTACCTTACATACTATAATTCACTTACTCATTTTATTAAATAAATAACTTATGCCCTTAATAAATAAATTTATTCCCTTAGCCATAACTCAAACTCCATAAGGGAAGGTTTCGAGAATGGCTAGGTTATGCCTGACATACAGTTGGTCGTCAATAATGAATGATGAACGAGGGGCGCCTGGTGACTCAGTCGGTTAAGCATCCAACGCATGGTTTCAGCTCAGGTCATGATCTCAGGGTCGTGAGATTGAGCCCCGGGTCAGGCTCTGTGCTGAGCGCAGAGTCTGCTGGAGATGCTCTCTCTCCCTCTCCCTCTGCCCCTCCCGGCGCTGGTGTGGGCTCTCTCTCTTTCTCTCTCTTTAAATAAATGAAATATTTAAAAGAAAAAAAAAAAGAATGATGAATGAATGAATGAAAGTTAAAATGTTGAGAGCATTAGATTGTTTTTTGAAGAAGTTAGAAGATGAGGCTCCTGAGTGGCTCAGTCCGTTAAGCATCTGTCTTTGGCTCGGGCCACGGTCTCAGGGTCCTGGGATCAAGTCCCACATTGGGCTCCCTGTCAGCGGGGAGTCTGTTTCTCCCTCTGCCCCTCCCCCTACTCCTTCTCTCTCTCTCTCTCTCTCGCTTTCTCTCAAATAAAATCTTAAAAAAAAAAAGAAAATAAAAAGTTAGAAGAGATCAAATCATTTTATTTCTACTTCATGGAATTCTAGTTCGTACTTAATTCTACCTGGTAGAATAACTTCAGGGGGGTGCCTCCTGGGTGACTCAGTTGGTTGAGCATCCAACTCTTGATTTCAGCTTGTGTCCTGGTCTCTTGGTTATGGGATGGAGCACAGCATCAGGCATGGTGTTCAGCACAGGAGTCTGCTTGAGATTCTCTCCCTCCCTCTGCCTCTGCCCCTCCCCCTGCTCATGCGCTCTCTCGCACTCTCTCTCTCTCCCTCAAAATAAATAAATAAAATCTTAAAAAAAAAAAAAAAAGAATAACTTCAGGGGTCAAGTGGTGACCTTAAAGGTGTGAGGTCTATTTGACTAGGGTTTTGTTTGACAGCCTTGTTTATTTGTTTGCTTGGGGTGTTTTTGTTTTGTTCTTAAATTTAATTGCACTCCCCGTTTGCCATAGTCCCTACCGCTCCCTATGTTCATACACTGGTCCTAGGGTTTTACACATTTCCTGTTCCTGACAGCCTCTGAAGACATTGAGTTTGACAGCTTCTACCCTGGTAGAAATTGGTTCATTGAATTGCTTAAACCATTAGGTATAGTTTTAACCACATAATAATTTACAGTGTGTCTTTGGGCAAATTACTAATATCTTTGGGTTTCTTTCAACTCTGAAATTCTATAAAGACATCTATTGGTTATTTGACAGCATATGCTCAAGGTCATCTGAACTATTTTGGGTAATTCTTAGCTGGGCATCAAATGAAATGACAATCCTGTATGTGATTCTTAGTCCCAGTGATTTCTAATACACAACAGATCACTTAAGTTTATAGATCAATGTATACTTTGAATTGAGATATAATGTCTCATCCTTTGGTAAAACCAGTTTGTTTTTTCTATAACATAATGAAAACTTAGATTCAGTCACATGGACATTCTTCCATTATAAATTGAATAATTGTAAGACAGTATTGCATAAGATTTACTATAAATAACGTGGTCCATAAATTTAAGATTTACATTTCAAAATACCAAGATTCTTAATCAGTCAGGCCATATAAATTCATTTGAAGATAAATCTTTTTAAAATTCCATTCGTAGAAACCCCAAAGTTAAATCTACTTGGCAAAAGAGACATTGAAAGTAAGCCAGAATAAAAGATTGAATTTAAAATACAAGGTTGGCAACTAATCAAGAATGGTCACCAGACTTCAAGCTCAAAACCTTCTGAATAAGAGTAATAAAAAACACTTTCCATCTCTAATGAAATTTAGTACTTTTTAGATTGATCAAAAACACATTTAGTCTTGGGGCGCCTGGGTGGCTCAGTCGTTGGGCATCTGCCTTCGGCTCAGGTCATGATCCCAGGGTCCTGGGATGGAGCCCCACATCAGGCTCCCTGCTCTGTGGGAAGCCTGCTTCTCCCTCTCCCACTCCCCCTGCTTGTGTTCCCTCTCTCCCTGTGTCTCTCTCAGCCAAATAAATAAATAAATAAATAAATCTTAAAAAAAAAAAACAACACACATTTGGTCTTAACATCAGGAAAAGAGATTCTATTGTAGTCTCAAACTTTTAGAGTTTCATTTAGACTTTCATTAATGAATCAAATAAACACTTTGAATATACCTACTAATATGTTAATGGTACCCTGGAGTGCAAGAAATACTGAAGGATACCTCCCAAATATTAACATTTGGATGGTAAACTCAAAAAGATATTTTAAATGGCTACTGAAAGGAGTACCTATAAATAAAGCAATTAAAAGACACATATGTAACCAAAGGAGGAAATATGATGATTTTAACTGTTAGAGATTCTTATAAACTTTAAAAGAAATTATTCTTGGGGTGCCTGGGTGGCTCGGTCATTAAGCGTCTGCCTTCGGCTCAGGTCATAATCCCAGGGTCCTGGGATGGGTCCTGGGATGGATGCATCTGGCTCCCTGCTAGGCGGGGAGCCTGCTTCTCCCTCTTCCACTCCCCCTGCTTGTGTTCCTGCTCTCACTATCTCTCACTCTGTCAAATAAATACATAAAATCTTAAAAAAAAAAAAAGAAATTATTTTTTGAAAAATTACACTGTAAAAAGAAGGAAAACTAAAACACCTGTAATCAATGAATATAAGAATGAATATAACAGTTTTTATTTTGCCTGTTACTTTCTTGCTTTGTCTGTAGGTAGTACATATATTTTTACATTTGTAATTATAGTGATTGAACAATTCTGTATTTGGCTTTTTTTTCATATAATTATGTTCTAAGCATTTTCCATATTGCCAGAGTCTTCATATTTATTATTAGTGATAGCATAACATTCCATCAAATTGCTCAAGTCTTCCTTTGCTATTGCAATTTTAGTTTCTTCTCAGTCTATCCTTAAAATATTTAATTGTAACATTACTATAATTCAGTACTGTCATTTTATTTCTTTGTTCTTTTGGTATATGCTGATTTCACTAATTGGGTTAAATCCTCAGGAGTTTCAAAGATCATGGAGACACATGTTAAATCAAGATACATTTCAAGCATTCAGTGACCACAAGTCTTATAGTGCTGTGATGCTTGTTAAAATTCCATTCTCGTAAAGGAATAGATTCTGGAATCAAGGTGACTTTGCTCAATACCAGCACTGTGTCTTGGGAAAATTTGCTTCAGCTCTCTGTGCCTTTGTTTTCCCATCTGTAAAATGGGATTAGTAATACTAAAATTGTTCTGAGGATTAAACAAGACAATGGGTGTCAAACATTTACAACAATGCCTTTTATATTTAAAATGCTATAGAAATAATATCCCTTTTCATATTAGAAAAGCTTTATATATTCTTTGTGCCTTACAGGAATTCTACATGTAAACAAAACAAGTGGTGAATTTTTAAATTTTAAAAACAACTCTGAGATAATTTCTTAACCAGAAGCAACTTCTTTTATAATCAAGTTTTTGCAACAGTGAAATATATGTCAGTTCATTTAGCAGCAATTGGGCCCTAAGCTAGCAATCGTAGGTTAGTGTTTCCTCTGGTAAGAATAACTAGCAATTCGTCTAAGACATTTGTGAATCATTCTGTCAGCATAATCGTAATAGTAAGAGTAAAAGTAAAATAGTCACCATCTACTGAACACTATGTGCCAGGCAAAACAATTGGGCATTTAAAAACATTGTAAAATCTTCATGACAACCTGGGAGGAAATATTATTATCCCAATCATTCCCAGACAGGGAGACAGACTCGGCGAGATGAAATGACCAGCCAAAACCCACACATGCCTAAAAAGCGATTGGTCCTAATTGACCCATTTGGATTGTATTAAGACTTGAAAGATGGAGAAGTCATGAGACTGAGTTCTCCCTTTATGAGTATCCATCCACCAAGTTTCCCACTGGAGTCCCATTAAACATCACAGGAGGTAAAATGTATTTTCTCCTTTGTATGTTGTAGGTACGAAGATGGATCAAGAGCCCAATGGTCAGTGTGGACAAGCATCAGAGTCCCAGCCTGAAGTATACAGGCCCCTCAGTCATGCACATCCCTCCAGGAGAGCCAGATTTTGAGTCTTCCTTGTGTCCAACGTGCCTGGGAGACCATGCTTTCCAAAGAGGTGTTCTCCCTCAGGAGAAAGAGTCATGTTCATGGGAAACTCAATCCGGGTGTGAAGTAAGTTCATTTTCCTCTGGATCCATTACCCTGAAAGGATTCTAGGCCTTTGTTTTTCTAGTATTCATACCACAGTATGCCAAAAAAACAAAAACCAAAACCAAACATATTTAATACACATGTATAAAGCTTCTGAGGAAGATACAGAATGTGACATTTGCTAGCCCACTGTACTAAATTTGGGGGTTGGGGGGGAAGGGGAGAGGGAGAACCTCAAGCAGGCTCCATACCCAGCATGGAGCCCGATGTGGGGCTTGATTCCACAACCCTGAGATCATGACCTGAGCTGAAATCAAGAGTCAGATGCTCAAATGACTGAGCCACCCAGCCATCCCAGTACTAATTTTTCTTAATAGCCTTTATTAGAAAAATTTTAGCTTCACAGCAAAATTGAATGGAAGGTATAGAGATTTCCCATGTACTCCCTGCCCCCACACAAATATAGCCTCCTCCACTCTCAACACTCCTCACCAGAGTGGTGTATCTGTGCCAACTGAGGAACCTATGTTGACATGTCATCACCCAAAGACCATAGTTTGTATTAGGGTTTGCTGTTGGTGTTAAGTTTGGACAAATTTATAATGACATGTCTCCATTTTTAGAGTATCATATAGGGCAGTTTCACTGCCCTAAAAATCCTCTGTACTCTCCCTGTTCATCCCTCCCCTCTCCTATACCCTGGCAACCATTGACCTTTTCACTCTTCACGGTTTTGCCTTTTCCAGAGTTGGAATATGGTTGGAATCATACAGTATGCTGCACTGACTTTAATGCTGTTCCAAGACTGATACAACCATATTTTGGCCAACTAGAAATCCTTCATAAGTTGTTTGATCACACAGAGATCAATTCTTATATAATGCAAAAAATATATCATAACCATCATCGACAGGTTTGTAGCCTTCACTGAAGTATTTATCTCAATCTGATTTGACCCACAAGAGAGCACTATATCAACCCATATTTCACTATTTTTCCCATATGTAGTCCTCATATTATTTCCTGTATACTCAGATTTTTCACTAAGACTTAATTTATCCTACTCCGCCAAGAGTTTTGTTTATTGTTTTTCAATTTTGTTAATCCAAGGAAGCCAGATAACTGACTTATCTTGCAGGTTCTAAGATTTCAAAAATTTAAGATTGTATTTTTCACTTATAACTCAGTTGGGCTTATATTTATTTTGACTTTTTAAACCCTTAGATTAAATGCTTATGTTATTTTTATCATCTTATTAACATAAAACCACAAATTAGGAAGACAGTACATGTTATTACAAAGTACAATTAATTGCAAATCATCTACCAATACATTATTTTAGAACAGCGCATTATAAGATGATAAATGTTAATAACTCCTTCCGGCTTTTTGTTTTTCCTGAAGGAAATGTTTTCCAGAGATAAAGGAATCATTTTAGCTGCTAAAAATGCTTGACTCTGAGTTCAACTCTAGGATATGCAATGTCTCAGAATCTGTTTCCTGCCTACTTTCTAAGGTTACTGGAAAGATCAAATGAGATAACACATATAAACTATTTCATAACCTAGAAAGTGTCATGCAAATAGAAATCATTATTACTTAACTTGCTGATTTACATAGTAGCTAAGCCTATGAATCTGTAACACTAAATTAGACCTCCATGACTAGGTTAGCACTTTGCTGATCTATGGACATTTGCCATGGCGCATTTGTTGTTTAGCTAGACACTGGCTCAACTCCAGGTTGACCATAGAAGGGAATAAATAGATTCTAAATGCAAGGATTGGCAAACTTTTTCTGCAAAGGGCCAGAGAGTAAATGTCTTAGGCTTTGCAGGCCATTTAGTCACTGTCATTTCTGTTCAGCTCTGCCCTGTAGGGAAAGCAGCCATAGATAATATACAAATGAATGGGCCCAACTGTGTTCAAATAAAAGTTTTTATTTACAAAAACATGTGGCTGGTCCACCAGCCTTAGTCTGCAGACTTTTAGACTCTTAGAGTCGAAAAGAATTTGCCAACTCCTTAGAGTCTAAAGAACTATTCATAACTTAGAGGTAGAAAGAGGGCTCTAGAAATCCTACACAGAGCACAAAGGCCTAGTACTAAATGTTTACTTGAGGGCCTGGTATATGGCCCATTTGTTAGGAGCTAGGGATAGATTAATGAATAAATGGAATTCCATATAAGAGGAAACAATAAACAAAGAGCTGGAAGGAATTTAAGGCAACACTGTGATTCATCCTTTTGCTTTATCTGGAATAATAGGTGAATCATTCTCCGATTTACAATGGATAAACTGGCTCTGACTTTGCTGAGCTTTTTTCTTAAGGTCACCACAAATCAAGAAGACACTTGATATGTTAACAATTTAACAATGAACCTACATTTTGGGTTCCTATTGGGATTAAACCATGAGACAGTTCCTTGAGAAGGCACCTCTGCCCTTTCAGGAAGTGGCCTTGTGTGATAAGATGGAGAGGCTGTTAGATACATGGGCCTAGTAGCAAAGACTCTTAATTTTTTCCTCTGACAACTCCTGATGTGGATAATTTTAAGCAAGTCATTAATTCATCCTTCCCCTTCAGTGTTCCCTCCTATGAAAATTGAGATTATTCACGCTCGCCATCTGGTCTTTCCTGGGTTTTTTAAGTAATTTGAGGATGAGATGGGATTTTTTAAAATATTTTGTAAGTGTAAACTTATGTGCAAATAGTGTGCTGGAGTCAAGCAACCCACATTCTGATGCCAGCTTTGCCACAGTCAATATACAAACTCGAGCAAGTCACAAAACCTCTCAAACATATGATGAGCCTGACCCAATTAACTCTAAAGCCCTTTTTAGTCTGAAATCCTACAGTTGGAATTTGATGATCTATAAATGAAAATAAACTCTGTACCTGGCATGAAAAGATAAAACATAGAAAATGAGGTAAGAATGTTTTAAATAAAATAAGAGAGCACATCAAATGCTAGTCCTTTAAGAATATAGGGGTGGGGGGTGGGTTCTGACTTTAAAAATAGTACATTCTAGGGGCGCCTGGGTGGCTCAGTTGGTTAAGTGTCCGACTTTTGATTTTAGCTTAGGTCATGATCTCAGGGTTATGGGATCGAGCCCCATGTGGGGCTCCACACTGAGCGTGGAGCCTACTTAAGATCCTCTCTCTCTGTGCCCCTCCCCCCCACTCATGCACGCACTCTCTCTCTCTCCTGAAAAATAATAATAATTCAAAAAATAGTACATTCTAAATGCTACTTTTAATGTCCAAAACTTGGTAAGAGTTGTATTGCAGCTAGTTTGTGCCAGGCTTTGCCAATAGTCTAGTTAGTGGCTTATAAACATGTTTCTCCCATGGAAGAAACTAGGATATATGTATTGCCAGTAAGTCACCCAGAAGAATAACAATATTGTGATGTTACTTGTAGTGCTGTCTAAAATGGACTGTTTACACGTTAAACAGACCTTTATGGAAATGGGATGGTAAGATGATAACACTGAGCTCTGCAAGCTATTACTGAGTAATACATGCTAGTGGAACTCAAGCTGTAGCATTTCAGTCTGAAATCAACTTTTGGGCCATAAAGAAATGGAAACCAAAGTAGCTTTTCAATGGGTGCATGCTGACTAAACATATTCACAGACTGTTCTGTACCATCTCTCTCACAGCACCTTCGACATCCAGATCAACTAAGCTGGAAGGAAAGGAAAGGACTGTTTTAGAATAGGGATAGGGAAGGAAATCTAGAATAAAGGAAAGCATAGGACTGTTCAAGAAGGCAGCCTAAGCATAAAATGTCCTCTCTCCTTCCTGCCTTAAATGACAGGAAAACACACACACATACGCACACATTTTAATTTATAATAGTGCTAGAAAACAAGGTATGCCGTTGTATAAATGAGAGACAATTAAGAATCTCTGAAAAACAGAAGGCAGGTAGGATTATGAAGTCCATGAGGAAACCACAGTCCAAAAGGGTCACATCAAAGAACCACTCCAACAGATGGGAACACTGCAAGCCTACGTATTCGGAAAGGACTCAGTAAGTTGGAAAATAAAGATGTTCTGGGCAGGGTCTAATAAAAGGAATGTAGTTTTAGCAATATAAATTTTAGACAAAATACAATCTAAGACAAAAAAATTTCAAAAAAACAAAGAGGGATATTTCACATTGATGAAAGATATCTGCCAAGAAGATAAAACATTCACAAACCTGGGGCACCTGAGTCACTCAGTTAGTTAAATGTCTGACTCTTGATTTCGGCTCAGGTCATGATCTCAGGGTCATGATCTCAGGCTTTTGAGATTAAGCCCCACGTCAGGCTCTGTTCTTAATGGGGAGTCTGCTTGAGATTTTCTTTCTCCCTCTGCCCCCCCCCACATACATGCTCTCTCTCTCTCTCTCTCAAATAATAAATAAATAAATCTTAAAAAAAAAATTCACAAACCTTTTTGTACTTAACTACACAACGTGGAGGTCTTTAAAACAACCACTAATAGAAATACAAGAAAAATTAGTTGATTCGTGTCATGGAAATTTTTATCATACTTCTAGAGTCTTTCGAGAAGACTAAAAATATGTAAGGGTAGAGGATTTTAATAAAACAATTAACCAAATATGATTTATGTGGAAATCTGTATCTAATAAACAAAGAAAACACATTATTTTAAGCATACATGGAACAATTGCATAAACTGACCACGAATTGGATCATGAAGCATATCTCATCAAATTCCAAAAAGCAGAAATCACACAGGCCACACGAGCTGATTATAATTTGGTAAAATTAGAAACTAACGACAACACGAGAGCCAACTGCCATCCCCGGCCAATCCTTTCACCTAGAATCCACGAACACCCTACTATTAACTCTGGGTTTACTTAGAAAACGAAAAAAGGAAATTAAAATCGTTTAAGTGCTTATTCCACCACCAAGAAAATGCAAAATGAAACAATGAGATTGTATTTCCTTTTAATCCATCAGATTGTCAAAGGGTTGAAAAGACGGATAATGTCATAATGG